TATATATATATATATATATCTATTATCCGTTTTTTCTCTTTTGTTCATGTTGCTGTATTCAACAGGGAGGAAAAAAAAAAAAAAAAAAAACAAAGAAAAAGTGGATACAGGGCATAACATCATCCCAAACATACGCAGAGAGAAACAGTTGAAAGAGAGTACCTGTAGTATTTGCTAATGCCTCGTAAGTACAAGAGGGCGTTGCAACAACACCAACAACAACGACATCATCATCATCATCATAATGAAGAAACACCTGAAGAGACGTTTGCGGCCCTTAATGAGATGGAGGAGAATCTCCGACGCCTTGGACTCCGTGAGGAAAGCGGCGCTGCTCCCACAACGGCAACGGCAACCACAACAACAGCAACCGCCGCCTCTACGGGTGGGAGTGTACTGACAAAAGACACACAGGCGTATCTTGCATCTATTAAGAAGGCAAAAGATGAGGCAACTAGACTACGACACGAAAAAGAATATCGTCAATTTGCAGCAGAAGAGCAGAAACGTGAGAATGAGTCTATGCTCACTGTTGTTAAGAAGGAAAATGCATTACGAGATGTAATTGAAACGGCAGGGCATTTACTTGAAAGGGAAACACGTTTAGCTAAAGAAGCTAATGCAAAACGTATTCAAAAAGTTGGTGGACAATTATTTAGAGCAGAAGAGATTCAAAAGAAAGAGGCTTTACGAGAACGAGTATATCAAATGATGAAAAATACTACAGCTTCTTCATATGTTCCATCACAATTGGTTTTATTAGGTACTGAAGAGTCAGAAACATTAAAGCATATATCAAAGGTTAATGCAGCCGTAGACTATTGTTATACCATTGCTGTTGGTCTGGTAGAAGTAGCCATGCGAGTAGCAGATGGAATGTATATTATTAGTAGTGAAACCGGACTTCCAGTACGGCGGGTTCCACAAGATCTTAGTGTAACTCAATGGCAAACATGGGTGAATGAGTTTGTATTTCCACAAACCACTTTAAGACCAATGAGTGATTTCCTTACTACAAGCTCACTACGTGATTTATGTGATCCTAACTATAAGAATATAGTAAATCAAAAAGAAGACGCTTTTTTCGCTTCTAATACAGGAACAGATCAAACAATAAAAGGAGAATCTGCCGAAAATACTCGAGAAAATGGGAATAAAGAAGAGAATACTATAACTGCTGAAAATATTATTGAACGTGTTTCTGCTATGCAATATAAATATGAAAAAGCTCATATTTCATCTAGTATAATAGAAGCTACTCGTTTAATAAAAAATAATGAAGAAATGAAACTTCGATCTGAATTAGATAAAGTACGACGTCAACAAGATTCTCAGTGTCCTGAAGAAGTAGCACCAGGATGGTTACATCGTTTACCTCCTGTTGGTTGTTTTGTGTATGGTGATGATTTGAGTGGATTAAAGGCCCTTGTAGATATTGCCAGTAATGATGGAAACCACGATACAACAACAGCCACATCCCAGAAACGACAGTGGAGTGTTTCTACACCAACCGAAACTGCAAAAGGTGTTAGTGAGTCAGGGAATAATTTAGTTGATAATAATATTCCCTATCGTGTACTCACGCCATTTATGTTAACTCGAATCCCAACAGGAGGGACATCTGGACAAGGCTCTGGTGGTCTTGGGGCGACGACGAGTAGTGGCGGTGGGGCTGGCGGCGGTAGTGGTAGTTACTCCCCGGCAGGGACAAAAATAAAATGGAATACAACCATCTCCTACGCTAGTGGTCGGACCAGAGATGGTAAACAACAGGTAGAAGATATCACAGAATCTAAACAGTATATTGAAGCCTTAACGGATGCACTCGTAAAGGAACTTATCACAGTTTATGTAAACAATCTACAACTTGTCATGCGTAGTGAGACAGAGACTGCAGAGGCTTCCACAGGAGCAACAGAGGCAATGCGTACATTACTGTTAGTAAACTTTCCGGAATCTGAAAATTTTTGGCGTATATTACAACAAAAACTTTTAGTGGCTATAGAAGGTGCAGAACAGGAAATAAATAGAATGCTTAAACTCAAAGAATTAGGGGAAGATATGCAAACACCACCACCCGTACTACTAACCGCAGCTTCACCTCAAGGTTCCTCAAAAGGAAAGTCTGGACAAAAAACATCTACTTCGCAAGAGGCATCTAGTGGAGTAGCACGCAAAAAAAGTCCAAGAAGTACATTATTATCCACAGGAAAAAAAGGTGCTATTCGAACTTCTATGCCTACGAATGAAGAAGAGAATGAACCCCAACGTAATCGTGTTTATCCACCTTTATGTCTTCTTGGAGTTTTTCTTCAATGTGATGTCCCTTCACGTTACAGACGAATGCGAATGGCGAATCAAAATCCTTGCATGTATTCTTCCGATCAAAGATCTGCAAAGACGTCTACTACCACATCAGGTGAAGAAGGGGGAGTGGAATCCTTTGCCGATTGGTCTATGAATAGACTACGTCATGAACTCATACATCAAGATCGAAAAATGCGAAGAGTTTTGAAAACGTGGTGTAGTAATATTGCTAAGATACATATACCAAGTGAACCTGATATCGAAAAACCAAATGTAGAAAGATTTAAAAAACGTTCACGATCAACGGTAATCCGCAAGGCAAGCGATCTTGCAGCTATAAACGCTATAGCTGCCGCCGCTGCTACTCCTCCTCCATTAACATTTCCAAAAGTTCTCTTCTTTAGACGTAAAGAGAATATCAGTTCAGCTTCAGATACAATAAACCCTGTGGAAATTCTTATTAATGTTTTGAAAAATCTCTTAAACCCTGCGAATCGGGGAATTATAAGTCATGAGAGTCTTGTTTCTGGGCAGTTGGTATCCCCGTTAAGATTAAGCGATTATCGTTTTCCTTCTGCAACACTTATGCGTTTGGTGGAACTTCAACAACGTTTTCAAAATCGTTGGAATGAGTCTACATCAACGGTTCTCTCCTTAACACCTACAGTCATGTCTCAGAGCTCCACTGGGGTAACACACTCTACAGGTGGTAAAGAGAGTGAAGTGGCCATTGAAAATGCTGTATTAATTGAAACAGAAATGTATCGAATATTTCGTACCTTTTCAACAGACTTATTATGGTTTATGTCATCTAATGTATTCCCACCATCTCTCTGGACAACAACAACAACAACAACAACAACAACAATAACCGCCGCAATAGGAACAGCGACAGCAACAACAACAACAACAACAGCACAACGTTCAGGTAATATTCCTGCTCCCATAAGTGGTAGTAATGGAGAATTTTTTAGCCGCACAGTACATTTTATTTCAGTAGACAAAAACTATAATGACTCACGTGAATCACTTTATGGACTTCAAGTAGAAGGAATGTCTAGATTAACTGCTACGTGTGCGTTATTTTTATATTGTGTATTAAATGTTACCCTAACATCTTTAGGGAGGGCGTTGGGAAGATTATGTTTATGGGCTCGTGGTCATATTGTTTCCATATCTCATGGAAATAATGAAATGGAAAGGGTCGGTGCACCTGGATCACCATTTACTGAAGCCGCAAGTGAAGATATGATGTCTGCGCAAAAAATGTCTCTTACCTCTGAATCTGCAATGCAACTCTTTTTGGATTCTGTACCCCGACTCAGTTTTGCTGAAGTGCAATCTATGGTGGAACAGCTAGATGGTGAGGCGGCATCTTTTCAAGGATTTCAACGAACATTATGGTCTTATGCTTCTCGTGTACATGAAACAGCCTTGGATTGTTTCCGTAAGTTTGTAAAAAATGTTTGTAAGGAATTTGGTGTAGAAGATTCTGAGAGTTTAGAAGCAATGGCTTCACCTGTTACAAGAATCCTATTAGAACATCTTTTTGCCTTTTCACCTATAGATGAAAAACGTGGAATTTGTGATTGTAATACTTCTACCATATCTGTTACCATGGGAAGAGCGGTAGCTGCTATTCGAGCCTTACGAAGATGTTGTACAATTGCAGGTGTGTGTGCGGCACGCTGGATTGACTCTATGTATGTAACTGCACTTGCTATTTCGCCTAATGGGACTTTCCCAGTGGAGTGTAGACCAACCAATATTGTAGATATCTTCTCACCACCTGAATTGGTGGAACAGGTAGGTGGGGCACCTCCACCTTCTTTGGCATTACAACTCCTTTCTACTTTAGCTCCAGCACTGGATCTTTCTTCAGATGAGGTGCGGGATTGTTGGCGAGAGACAGAATTTGAAGTGATTCTACAAAACTTTTCCATTTATCAAAAGTCTGTACTTGATGAGGAAGAGTTTATTCATTGTATGATGCAGGTCCAATTGAATGCTCTCTGGAAGTTTCTACCACCTCGTTTACATAATGTCGCCGCACGACTTGGTGTCACCTTACCCTTCCCATCCAATATAAGACAACAACAAACTAAAGAAATGGAAGAAAAAGGTAAAATGTGTACAAATTTCATACAACCATGGTTTAAACATCAAAATGGAGTTGGAAATACAAAAATGACATTTGTAACGGAACGTATAGCTTCTCAAATGTTTCATGCTGCGGTGCAATCTCAAGAGCAAGAAATTCCAAAACAACGGTTTAATACTTCTGTATCAAGAATGGATTCTTCCGTATCTACATTTCGAGATGTAGTAGTGAATTATAGGATTAGAACATCCTTACTTCATTTACGTGAGTTCTTTATTAGTGCTATTCTTCAACGATTATATTTTGATGATTCCTCTGGTTCTTTCACAGATGTCATGCAAACAGGTACATTTCAGGAACCTTCTACAATGGAATTACGAACCATGATACGGTCTGTTCCACCTGTACTACGGGAACAAGGACCAGGTGATATACCAGGCTTTGATTCAATCTCTATGAAGGCATGGAAACGTATTAAGTGGTGGACATTCTTTGATGATCCTTCACGTTTAAGTTATGCGGCATTTATTCAACGGTATATGCTGCGTATTCTCACCGTTTGTTTTGGATTTGTAAATGGAGAATTATGTTCACGTTGTGTACCATTTCTTCCGGATGTATTGTATGCTGTGGCCGCTACAAAAGGTGCTCAAGCCACGGCGGAGCGTTACTTCCATTTATTGGCAGCTTTAAATACTGTACGAACCAAAAAATTAAGTCATTCACATCAATCCAATCGAGCAGGTGCGGCCACACCACCAACACCACCAGCAGAAATAATAACAACAGCACCGGCAACACCAACCGTATCATTGGAGACAACAGGTCATTATATAATGGCAGCAGATGGTCCTTTAATGGCTTTTGAGTTTACTTTATCTGTTGAAGAGGCATTGTTTTTCTTTCAACGTGCGGGTGAAGAGATTCTACGTGGTCCTTGTGCAAAGGGTTTGGCTCATGCATTTCCTAAACAACCGCAGGATCTACAAAGTGCGGTCTTTTTGGAAGAAACAAAAAATGGCAGTAGCTATAAGAATAATAAGGATATCGAAGATGATGATGACTATGAAGATGATGGAATGCTTCCTTTAGAGGCAGAACTCACACTATTGCTGGAAATTGAGAAACGCACGGCGTTATCATTACCACTTCTATGTGCCACACATTGGGGACAACAGATAACACCACGTCTGACAAGAATTCCTTTCACAGAGAATGTAATGGATATAATGCGAAATAAACGACTCGTTGATGGAGAAGGAACTACCAGTTCTCAAATGGCCGAAACCATCACTAGACCAAGATCTACTTCATTTATTTGATGGAATCAAAAGTGATAGTAGTGATAGGGACAGCCGCAACTTAATTTTATTTCGCAAAATCTCTCACGTTCCATAGAGATAGAGAAAGAAATAAAAGAGGAGGAACGTTATGTAATGAATGTACAGAAAATGAAACAAATAATTTCTCTTTACATGTGGTATCTTTTTTTTTTTTTGCATTATGAAAAGATATACACAATTTATTGGTCAAGAAATTTTTTTACTCTTCTCATTTTCTCAGGAATATATATATATATATTCTTTGAAATGTATTTATTTCTCTTTTCTTCTTAAACACTGTCTCTTTTTCTTTTTTATTTTATTTTTTTTATTTATCTATCTATCTATAATTAGTTTTTAGTCGTAGTATTTTTTTTTTCTTTTTCGCTGTTTAGTTTCCCTCTTTTTTTTTTTTGTTTTTGCCACTTCCTTACACGAAGTGAAAAATCACAAAAGGAAAAAAAGACTACACAGAGAAAGGTAAATCTCCGGCACACTTATATATACATATATACATATACGCACTAGAAAAAGAAAAAGAAAGAAAGAAAACAAAACAAAACAGTAAAGTGCGTATTACCTGGAACAGTAGAAGACTAACAAAAAAAAAAAAAAAACTCAACCTCTCCTCCCTCTCAGTCCCTTTATCCAGTGAGTAGAATATATACACCTATCTCTACCAAGGGCGATGGAGAGTTATAAAGATGTGATGCTCAGCCAGGCGCCGGCCATGTACGACCGCACCGGACAGGCGCCAGGCATTTCCCTCGAGAACTACAAAGGCATTCTTCTCAGCGCCAGACCGGCAAATCTCCCGTACGGCCCCTCATCGCAACTCCGCGGGGGACCGGCCGGCACCGCACGACTCGTCACCGCAGGCGGAGAAGTCGCCCCCGCCTTCGTCCCTGCCGGCAGCGTTGAAACACCAGCAGGACTCGGTCCATCTGCAGAGGAGCGGGCCACAATGGAACGCAATCATCGCATGCGGTTAGAAAACTACAGAACACGACGCGCTAATGCGTGTACAGTGTTAACGCGTCATAAGCGTTGGCTACGTAGTTTCGCCGAACAGGTGCGAAAAATGAAGGATGAGGAGATACAGCGGGAGATTGAACTCGCACGAAGGGCTGAGCAAATTCGTCAACAACAAGCACAAAAACGTGCTGAGGTGGTTGCTCTATCACCTCGTGGAGAAGAAACAGCCAAGACTATTCTCAGGGAAGAGATACAATACCCACAGCAGTCGAAGCCAGAAGGAATGGCCGATACAGGACGTGTTGTTTCTTTTGCAGATGATGAAGCAAAGAAAAAGGATGCTGCCAAGAAGAAAAAGAAGAAGAAGCCAAAGTGGGCCCTAACAGAGGATGAGGCTCTAGAGGATGAACTTGCAGCTACCGACGATTTGCTTGAGTTTGCCAAAAATCTTGATTATGATAAGTTTATTGACGACTATGAGGTGGCAGGGGCTTTGGCAATTATGCGAGAACGAGTAGAGGAGATTGCACGAGAGAATAACTGGAGTAAAGAAGCGCTAGAACGAGCGGCAAATGAATCTGTCGCTGGTGATACAGAAGATGGAGAAGACTATGAAGGAATGGAAGCGGTAGGAGGAAGTGGTATCGCAAGGAATGAACGAGAACGTCGTGAAGGTGGGGATTATCAACCTGTTATTAGCACTGCCGCTGCAGCAAGGAAAGCAGCTCCCCATATTGCTGCAGGACACACAAAAGAATGGGATGGATCAAAAAGTATTGGTGGTGTACTGCGTCGGGCTATTTTCCGCGATACTCTACAATTGGCCGAACGAATTCTCGCTTCTTCTAAATCTATGCAGAAGATTCATACAAAGTTCAGCCTTGCACGTGTTCTGCAGCGTTGTGTACTTGATGGCACTGATGCAACGTTGGCTATGCAAAAACCCTCCATTGGTGGTAGTAAAGGTCTTGATACAGAGCCACGTGTGGTGAACGTACACCCAGATGCAACTGGACTTGAGACAGGTGGAACAAGTGGTGGCGATGCGGGTTCGCAGCGGGTACTGGTGGAGATGCAACGCTCAAAGGAACGTACACAAGGTTTACCGTATTTGTATAGATGTCCAGCCATCTAGTCCCCCAGGACGTTTTATATATATATATATTATTCTCTGTTTTGTGAGCATCTGTGGTGTGTGATTTACCTGTTGTTGTTGATGTTTCTTGGTATATATATATATATATATATGTTATTTATATCATTATTCTATATACCTCTTCGTGCGACTTGCTTTCTTTTTGGTGGCAATGTTTGTGTCTGTTTGTATCTTCCGTGTATGATTGGATGTCTCTGGAATCAGTTAATTTCTCCCCCTACTCATCCAACCCGTATCCAAAAAGAAAAAAAAAAACTCAGAAATGGTAAAGAGTAGGAAAAAAAAAAGCTTGAAAAGAATTTACAACCGAAATTAGATGTACAGAATTACAATTTCATTAGAGGGCAAATAAGAAAAAAAAGACCTTTTTTTTTCTGCGATAAGGATTCCTGGCTTGCTAGTACTGAAGGTATATATATATGTATGTATATATGTATACGTATATATATATATATATATATATATATATGTGATTGTTTATTCATATAATGTGTGATTTCTAGTATATACTTTTACATACAATTAGTTGCAGTAAATAAATAGAGGTTACAGCAAGCAGTTTCGTTACGTAGAAGGAAAGGGAGAGAAGAAAAAAAAATGCATTATCTTTTTTTTACTTTACTAAGAGTTATCTTTGATGTCATGTGATGAGAGTGCTGTTTCCCAAAGCAATGTTTATTTGTTTTCTTTTGGTGTTTTTGTTGTTTTGTCGTATATGGACTCTTTTCCATTTTTTTTTGTTTTTTTCCCTCTCTTTCATTCACTTGGATGAATCTCTACTCTCTTTTTTTTTGATTTCTTTCCGTGTGTGTGTGTGTTCTTCCCCATTCTCTGTTAACCAAATAAAAGGTGCAACGCATCTCAGAAAAGAAAGGGAATGAACTTGAGCGACCACGGATTCGGTACCCAAGGTAACGCTGCGGGGGCTGCGGGTAGTGGAAATCAGCCGCAGCGGCGTGCGCACCCGATCCGCCCCGTGACGATCAAACAACTGCTGGGCGCGCAGCGTGTGGGCGACGGCGTGATGGTCGTCGACGGCCGCGAGATCACGCAGGCGGCGGTGGTCGGCCGTGTTGTTGGGTACGAGGACGACTCCACCGGCCGCGTCGCTGGCGCCGTGACCGCGAAGCACTACGGCTACCGCATCAGCGACGGCACCGGCATTGTTGTGGTGCGGCAGTGGATGACGGCCGAGCACGAGGAGGCGCCGCTGCCGCTGCAGTGTTTTGTGCGGGCAGGCGGCACTGTGAAGGTGTGGCAGGATGCCATCATCGTCACCGGCACGGTGCGGCTGGTCTCGGACTGCAATGAACTGAACTATCACTATTTGGATGCCATTCTCACACACCTGCGCCTCACACAGGGTAATCGGCATGCAAAGACAGAGGCAGCGACGCCAGCAGTGAGTAATACGGCAAGTGCAGTCGGTGGACAGAATATACTCCCCGGTGGGGATACTAAAGTGTACGCCACAACGGTGTTGCTGAACGCTATTAAACAAAATGCAAGGGGAGATGAGGGACTCTCAATGGATGAACTCACCGCCGTAGCAAAGAAATACGGGTTTAGTGGTAGCGACGTCCGCGCGGCGCTGCGGAGCCTGGCAGCGGAGGGAAGTGTCTACCAAACACACGACAACCGGTTTAATGTGTAAGTGAAAAAGCGGAGATGATAATGTCATGGGATAAGAAGCTCAGGGGACATGGTGATGGTGTTGTTGAAAGGAAGGAAACTACAGTAGCGAGAGACCAATAGAAGGGTAAGAGAGGGAGAAAAAAAAAAAGAGAGAAGAATAAATAAGAGACATATCCACAAATTGAATAGCTCTCATCTCTCCCTCCCTGTATCTATCTATCTATCTCTTACATACATACATACATACATACATACATACATTTATATATACACATATATTCATACAGTAACCAATAGAAGAGGTACGTGAATGGGTCTGTCATTTATCCATCTTTTTTATTTTATTTCTTTTTTCCCTCCAATTTGCTTTCATGCAAAAAAAAAGAAAAATATATATTTGGAGAGAGAGAGAGAGAGATGAGAAAGAAGGGTGGAGTAGGTAATGCATGATGCAGATCAGTACTTACTTGATACTTCTGCCTAACGTTAAAGGTAAACATTGTAATATGCATGCATGCAAATGGACAGAACAGAGATACAGAGGAAGAGCGAAAAGAAAAAAAAAGAAATTGAAGGGAAAGTCATGGGAAAGACGAGAAAAGAAAAGAGAGCACAAAGAGAGATTGTTTAGTTTCTCAATCATATATACATTGATCAAGTGGTGATAACAGACCCTTGCAACACTATGCTATTCTCTCTGAATTGTGCAACAGAAAGACTATGTTGTCTCTTCAGAATGACTAAACTACCAAAAAAGGAAAAAAAAAAAAAGAAGGGGCCTCTCTGCTGTGTGGGGTGGTGACAGGCAGAAGAGTCCATACGAATAATATTAATAAAAAAAAAAAAACCTGATTTCTTTCTTTTTCTACACTTCTTTTTTTTTTCTTTTTAGTAACTAGATAGTAAAAGGAGTACTATTTCGCCTATTGTCTTATTTTTCCTTCTCATTTAAAATTATATTTTTATATTCATACTAATTTCAACCCTACAATGCGCCGCGTCAGTAGCCAGTTTGTTTGCACCGCCGCCGTTGCTGCCCGCTTTGCGGCGACCAGCGCTGCGAAGAAGTACGACCTGTTTGGCTACGAGGTGGACACCAACACAGCCCCGTGGATTGAGAAGATCAAGAAGTGCAAGTACTACGATGAGGCCGGTGAGGTGCTTGTGAACATGAATGTGAGCAACTGCCCTCCTGATATCGCCACGTACAATGCCGCACTTCAGCGCATCTTTGAAGCCCCATCCAAGCAGGAGCATCCCGTGGAGAATGAGAGCAAGTTCTGCGCCATGATGGATCTGCTGGAGGAGATGAACCACCGTAACAAGATGAAGCCAAACGAGGAGTCGTGGACGTGGGTGATGCGTGAGTGTGTGAAGAGCGGCCAGTTCCGCCTTGGCTACTGCATCCAGCGGGTGATGGAGGCGGAGTTCAAGTCGTGCCCCGCCGATCTTGTGAAGCAGAACGAGGCCAACGCCGAGAAGGCAAAGGCAGACGGCAAGGAACACCCCAGCCATCTCGCCAAGCAGGTTGGTCTCTTCGATATCAAGATTGAGTAGAGGAGTTAAGAAGAAGAAGAGGAGGAGGGGAAGTGTGTGTGTGTGTGTGAGAGAGAGAGAAAAAATGTTAGAGATTTAATCGTGGAAAAGTTCCACGTGCGGATTTAATCTCTTTTTTTTTTTTTGTATGTGTGTGTTTGTGGAGATTGTGAGATTACCGTGTATCGCTCTAGCGAAAAGGGGAGGCTATTTTGTAGTGATGCTGCCGAAATATACTGTTCTAATACATCTCAGGAATACAGTATATATATATATATATATATTTACTTGTTTATCTCTCTTTCTCTCCCTTTTTCTGTGTTTCTGATAAAGGGGAATGGGGTGACACTATTTCGTGTTGCCGTCATTTCAAAGTACAGAGAGCCGATAAGTAGATTTTCCCTAACGGCATATTGGTCGTAGTAGGATGATTCTTTTGAGTCATTGTCTTGATAAACGCATGAACACACACTCGTAAGTTGTATCGAGGAGGTGACATGAAGAGGAGAAGTAACAGAAAAGAAAAAAAAATATGGTTGAGGGTGGACCAGGGCGAGAAGGTGTGGTTCTTTTTTTCTTTTCCTGTTTTTTTTTTTTTTGGTGTGATATTTGCCGCAAAAAGAAAATAAAAAAAGGCTACATGTGAGAAGTAAGAAAGTAAGAAAAAAAAAATAAAAATGACAATACGATACAAAAAAAAAAGAGAGTAGTCGAGAATCAAGCATTAGACGATAATTAGTCAGAGAGGGGAGAAGGATGATTTTCAGAAGGTGTGGGGAAAGTGCTTGTATGTGCTTTTATATATATATATTAATACTTAGTAGTGATGATGCTCTATCTGCCTCAACTAGGATTGTTCGACGGATTTCATTGTCCCGTGGTGATAGACTCTCTTTTCTCTCTAGTTCTATACAAGCGGGAAAGAAGAGTCTTCAGGGACAGTTGAATCAGAGTAAGTGAAAAGAAAAGGAGGAAGAGAGAATATCAGTTTTGAGGAGGTTCTGTATTGTTGGCTTTTTTTTTTTTCTTTACTTTCGAGGTAATGTTATGTGTAGAAATTGCCTCTGGATCCATTTTATACTTTGGAATGGATTCCTGGTTTGTTTTTGTAGTGATATATATATATGTTTTTTTTAATTTTTCTTTTACTCCTTTTCTTCTTTTTTTTTCTTTTTTTCCGCATTCTGTACGATTCAAAGGAGCAGCCAGCTGAGATATCGCACTTGTAATGCGCCGCGTCAGTAGCCAGTTTGTTTGCACCGCCGCCGTTGCTGCCCGCTTTGCGGCGACCAGCGCTGCGAAGAAGTACGACCTGTTTGGCTACGAGGTGGACACCAACACAGCCCCGTGGATTGAGAAGATCAAGAAGTGCAAGTACTACGATGAGGCCGGTGAGGTGCTTGTGAACATGAATGTGAGCAACTGCCCTCCTGATATCGCCACGTACAATGCCGCACTTCAGCGCATCTTTGAAGCCCCATCCAAGCAGGAGCATCCCGTGGAGAATGAGAGCAAGTTCTGCGCCATGATGGATCTGCTGGAGGAGATGAACCACCGTAACAAGATGAAGCCAAACGAGGAGTCGTGGACGTGGGTGATGCGTGAGTGTGTGAAGAGCGGCCAGTTCCGCCTTGGCTACTGCATCCAGCGGGTGATGGAGGCGGAGTTCAAGTCGTGCCCCGCCGATCTTGTGAAGCAGAACGAGGCCAACGCCGAGAAGGCAAAGGCAGACGGCAAGGAACACCCCAGCCATCTCGCCAAGCAGGTTGGTCTCTTCGATATCAAGATTGAGTAGAGGAGTTAAGAAGAAGAAGAGGAGGAGGGGAAGTGTGTGTGAGAGAGAGAGAGAGAAAAAATGTCAGAGACGCATTGTGGAGGACTTGTATAGATGTGCATATATACATGTATATATGGTCTGTATAGATGTGTCTGTTAGGAGGTAGTAATCTCGTCTTGTGTAGCGTTAGGAGAAAAATAATGGTGGTCGGGGTGGAGAAGTACTGGAGAATGGCAGCGGCAGTGGGAAAGGCAGTCTCTTTCTTAGTAATAGCAGTAGTAATAGTAGTATGAAATATACATATTTTGCTAATGAAATGATCACTGTTATATGGCTGTTGATGTTGTTCGTGATGTTTCCTTCTCCCTGGACTTTGTTCTCTGCCGCAACTTCTCGAGACCCATGGAACCCACCGCAATTGAGAGGAATGAAAATGAAAAGAAGAAAGGAAAGAAAACATGAGGGACGTGGGAAACGTGAAAAAAAAGAAAGAAACAAGGTGAAAGAAAAGAAATAAAATGAAATGGATCAACGTGATAGGGGTATGCATATACTTTTGTTGCACAGATACAGAGAAAGGAGGAGAGAAGAAAAAAAAAAAAACGAAGTATATATATATATATATATATATGTTGAACATCTCATTATCTTTTTGTTTCACAATTATCTTTTTTTGCTCTTTTTGGTGGTTGTTGTTTTTTCTTCTTGGACTCACCATCCAACTGTACCGCATTGAAAATATAAACAAAACCATTACTCTCCATAATAATTTCTTTCCTTTTTCTTCATCTTTTTATTTTTCTTTGATTTCCACTGCAACAGTGTTATAAGAGGTTTGCCAATATTTGTTGTTGGTGTTCCTCTTTATTTTGTTCTTTCACTCCTGTGGTTGGGGGTCTTTGGCGCACTCTCTTAACCATAGAGTGAATTATAACTACACTTACATAAATACATACATCAATTAGGGTAAAAGGGTATATATAGTTGAAAGAAGAGAAAGATATATTTTTTTTCTCTCTCTTTCTTTCATTTTTACTTTTTCTTTGTGTGTGAAAGTAAAGAGAGGAGTGAGGGGAGAGAATTATTGGGAAAAAAGCCAAGGAACGGAAATCCTCTTTGTATTTCACCTTCCAATTCCGTGTGTGTATATTTGTGTATTCGCATATGAGCAGTGAGAAAAAGTCACGCAACGCCTCTGGGACTCAACCATTGGATTCCATCTCGTCGGCGGCTTCCGCAACGCCCTACACTGTAGAAGTACGTAATGACAGTCCCTGTTTATCTGAAAGAAAATTACAAAAATGTGACTCTCCTTCTCCTGTTCTCACTGGTGTTTGTGAAGAGGGTAATAACTGTAGTGACGCTGGGAATGTAGAACTAGAGTGTAAAGGGACACCACATACTGTGTTTGATACTGCAGAGAGGGTCTCTATAGATGAACCCGTGCAAAAGCGTATATCACCTTTCCAGACTCACGCAGAGGAGTCAGACAAGTCTTGGAAAGATTATCAATTAAGACTTCTTGAAGGTGGCAGAAGTTTTGGTTCCGTTTCTCCATTGAATGATGCCCGACGTTTGTTTAATCAAGTCCCACACAACTCTAATCAAGTAGAGGATATTTTATTGGGTAATGTGGCTTATGCCTATTTTACTTCAGACCCAACCGAAACCCGACCAAGTCACAGTGTTCATATCCCACATACTCCATCTCGTGAAATGGATTCCAAAGAAGAAAACCAGATTCAAGGTGGTGATAATGCAAACACTGTGAATGAGGGATGTGGTTCGTGGCGTGGAAACTCTACAAAGTGTACGAAAAAAGATATAAAGAAACCCTCGGATATGGGAACCTCTAATGGACTAGACTCGGATATGTTCCATTCCAAAGATAATACGGAATATTCCCTCTTCATTCATAAACTTGCTTCCTGTACTGATAAAGAGGCTTCGAAGTTTTTTTCTACCACTTGCTTGGGATACATTTTCCGTCATCCTGTAACGGAGGATCTTTTTCGTGAGTTTATGTATGATAATATGTTTCCAATGTTAGCTCTCATGTCTACGGCTATTGGTGTGGCGTTTATCATTACACTGGTCTTTTCACCACCACATTTGGCCACTTGGTCTAATGATTTGGTTTTTGTTGTTGGTATAGGGGAATTGGTGATTGGCGGTATTTCAACTATTTGGCTGATATATAACCATCTGTGTAGAAAAAAAATAAAGAAGAAGCAAAAGTTGAATAAAAAGCATCATCAACTATTTGCTGAACGTTCCTTCTATGAAATAGGATGTGTTCTCTCCCTTTTTCTATCCGCCGTAACATCTATAACCCCTTTTACAGTTGTTATCACCTGTTTTCGTTTCACTGTCTACCACTTCAGGCAAAGGCTTTCGGAAGAGAACATATGTTTTGAGAGTATTTCTGCTCTGTTCTTATTCACACCAGTCGTTTCCGCTACCATTCTTCGCTGTCGTGCCATCTTTGCCGTTCCAATCATCGCGTCCACGCTATTCTATAAGTTTGCCTATCAGTTTTATACCAAAATTCTCTTTTGGGGAATACTATCAAGTTCTTTTTTTCCTCCCACTATGCTGACATTGATTTGTGTGATGTGTATTGTGCAGGTACTAGTGACAGAGCGTAGACTGCGATGTTTGTTTCGCGACTCCACTTTATTTCACGCACATGCCGATCGGCTTTCACAACGGCAGCGGCAGGCACGACACCGACAAGAAAGTGGAAGATTGAGTTCACAGTGTAGTCTACGCCGAACTCCCTCCTTTGTGACGACCGCCGCTGGGACGTTAGCCATTGTGGAGGTGTGTGACTTTGCGGTGTGGAGTTGCACACAACTGCCGTATCATGTTGTGAATTGCATGATTGCACTTTACACGGCCTTTGATGAGACCGTGCGGGCATTAAAATTGCAGAAGTTGCGACACACCGGCGCTCATTATATATTCGCAGTGGGTGAACACAACGCGTCTAATCCACAGAAGGGGTGTGTGTCCGTTATGAAAGCCGCTCTTGAGATGCTGGATACCACAAGAAAGATGAATGCCATGCTGAAACAACGGCAAGAAAAAGAAAAAAAAGAACGAGGAGGAGAAGGGGAAGTATTAAATGATGGGGATTGTACCTCACTGAGGGTGCGGGTGTGTGTTCATCATGGTCCCATTACAACAGTCTACACGCATCACTGCAATGACAAGGATGCCGATGCCACTACTAGGATTGCTCCGGTGGCCACTATTATTAGCGGTGAGGCCCACGCCGTACTGGATGTTCTCAAATGTCATGCCCCACCAGACGCTGTCGTCTGCACAGCAGATGCCAAACGCATGTATGGTGGCATCTTTGCAGATACGCCGTGTAGTAGCATTACTCGACCAGGCAAGAACTCCGAATCCATTCTCTGCTATCGCATTACACAGAATCCAAACATCGCACATAATTCTACACTTGGCCCAAGAGAAGGTTTAGGCTTTTCAAATGTTGCTGTTGCTAATAATAATAATAATAATAATAATAATAATAATAATAATAATAATAATAGTGGTGGTGGTGGTGGTGGTGGTGGCAGTCTCTCGGGTTTGTGGGGGTCTCGTGAAATGGATAATCATTTGCAGAAGTTAGCAGGTTTTCACACTACTGTACAGTCCTCTTCGTTTCGAAGAAGATGCACAAGGGAAGCACCGTGTGTGCCGCAGTACGTTCCAGCAGATAGTCTTCATTTACTTGAGCGGACAAACAAAAACATAGAAGCTAGACACGCAGCTGCACCTACGGGTCTACGCCGTTTTATGCGGTCTCACATCACGGATGATAGTACGCTGCTGAGAGAAGGGATAGACGTAAAGGAAAAGGCAGAATATCACGTGAATCCATTGTCTGTGAATCAACATGAAGAAAAGTGTAAAGATCGATGCAAAACAGCAGATCTCGCTTCTCCCATAATACAATCTCCCACAATTGGAGAACCAGAATTTCAAAAGAAGTCGTCATTTTCAGATCATACGGAACCTACAGTTGTTCCCTTTTCAGATGTTCTTCTTGAGGTCAATGGAGGAAATGCTATCCCTACACTTCCTGATAATGATGATAGAGTAGATCCAGTTGAGGAAGAAACGAGAAATTTTTTTATTCGTGAATTCATTCATCGTTTACGGCGTCAACTATTATGTGGGTGTGAAGGGATACATATGGAGAATGGCAATATAGACGAAAGTACTGCTGCTATGATTGCTTTTAGGCAATTTACGCATCACTATGATACGATGCCTAAGCTCACAGGTCATCTCTTTCAGACGATATGTTTCCTCTTCATCTATGTATGTAGTGCATTCATCTCTGTTCGTGCGTCCTCTTCGGAGGATATGGAATTGGGTATGGAAATCCGCATAAAAGTAGATGTTAAAGAGAGAGAATGGAAAAGAGCAGGGTTTGTGTTGGGCGTGGTTGGCGTGATATGTACGATGATTCGACCTTTAGTATTCTGGTTTTGTAGACATTGTGCCTTGAATATTCTTTCGTCTCTTCTTTTGATTGTGGATATTTTTTTAATGGTGGCATTCTTGCTGCATGCACCTTGTAGTTCTGCAAGTATCACGTTTGAGTACATCTTTGTTTTTGCGGTACTACCCATACATCTTATCTTTAGTAATTGGAGTGCGACTGCCTGCGCTCTTACCGTCGTTGGATTGATTCCTGTGTTTACTTCCCTCTACCACGTTTTTGTGAGTCTTGATTTCACATTGTTTTCACTGATCTTCCCTGTACTGACGGTTGCTCTCACTATTACCGTTTTTCAGCGTTCGAGATTGATGCGAAAGCAGTTTAAACGATATATGTACAATAAATCACAGTGTATGGATAGCAAGATGGCTGTGATTCAACAAAAACAAGAGGAAGAAAAAAAAGAAAATCAATATCATTGGAGTGGTTTACTCCCACCTCATGTGAAGGATGTGGCGATGGCTATGTGTTTAAAACAAGTACCGGATGATATGGTGTATGTTCAACCGCACACAGAACTGTGTGTGTGCCGTCTGCGTATTGATGAATCCACAGAAACTTCATTCCTTATGAAAGATATTGTAACTCTCTTTAACTTCCTTGAAGGTATTAGTTGTAAATTGGATAATATTCTCTGCGAATGCAATGCCCATCACGCTATAGTACTTAAAGAAAAGATTCGTAAACGCATGATAGAGGAAGGCGTGGATTATATTTTACAGCAAAAGTACATTGAAGACAATGTGGCTCTCAACCGTCTAGTGACAAAGATGTTTATCTCTGAAGGTACTTGGCAGTTTGCGGGTCCTCTAGATGATGATAGCAGTTATCCACCATATATGCAGGAGTTAGTGGTACAGGAGGCGGCCTTGTGTATTGTAAGTGTAATGCAGAAAGCACAAGAAAAAGAATTCTTGGAAGAGTTTTCACCACCAGAAGTAGTGGATCTAAATAGCACCACAGCGAAAACAACAGGAGGAAATATGGATAGAAGTATCACTAGTGTTGCTTCTGTGGGTCACGCCTACGGTCTTCTGCCAAGTTCCTACTGTCCGTCTCTGGAGTTGTGTGGACCTGCGGTGCGGGACTGCGCCACTTTGTTGAAGGCCGCACCGCATGGATTTGTGGGTGTAAATCACACCTTCGCCCGCATTGCGGAATTGCGAGAGAAGAAGGGAGTAGAGAGAGAAGTGTGTGCGTCTCCCACACAGTGGGATTCTCAGCCAGATGTCCACAACACTCGTATGGACTTTAGTGAAGAGAGTGTGCAGATTATCTCTCGAGGGGCTTGGCGTGTGCGGGGCAGCGGTGTGCAGCATATGTTTGCGCTCCTCCCCACACCGCAGTGAACAGAGGGGAGAGAGGAAAGAGGGAAATGAAATGATTGGCAATAACCTCTTATATATATATATTGGATGTATAGATGTGTGAAAAGACAAAAGGAAGCTGATGAAATAGGGAGATAATATTATAGAACTGCTTCCAGATTTCTTTTGTCCTTTCTCCAATTATCTTTGTAACGGAAAAAACAAAACAAAAGAAATTAGCTTGATGAGTGTATTTTTCTTTTATTTTTGAATATATATTTTTAATTTTATTATTTTCGTTGATTATTTTTGCTGAACTTTTTTTTAAAAAATTAATGGGGCAAAGATCAGTGTTTGGAATAACACGAAGATTGATACCAGGGTTATATGGATTATTATTTGATTAAACTCTTGCGCAAACACATGCAAATTGAGCACATTCTTATACATACATACATACAGAACTCTTGTTTCTTTTATACAAAAGTGTGTGTATTTAATTTGCTTTTCATATTTTTGTGGTATTACTGGAATGATAAATATCGCATTATTATTATTATTATTATTATTATTATTATTATTATTTTATTATTCTCATATAAATTGCTTTCAGTTTGTCTCCCATGTTGGTTGCTCTATTTAGGTTTTAACAGAATAAGTGGCGAGAATAAGAAAAAAAAAAAAATAACAAAAATACCATCAAAACGTTTTTTTTTTTTTTTTTTTTTACTTCTATTTTTATTTTCTCAGGCGTTAGGTATCCCCAGATATAGGGCATTTTTTATTTTGTAAACAGAATATGTCACTGCTGTTGTCTGTTTGTTTGTTTATTTACTTCCTTTTACATCCTTCTCAAGTGTATATATATATATATATATATATGTTAATGAGATATGAAAAGAGCAAAACTCTTGTTTTTTCTTTTATTTCCTTTTTTCTTTACTTGTTATTTTTCGTGTATGTATGTTTTTATTTTTACTGGTGCCATTGCAGACTGGTGAGTTGAGGTGTTAAAGACACCCTCTGGTGGTGGTAGTAGTATATAAATAATATAAAACATACAAATAAAAATAAAGGCGGAGAAGAAAAGAAAAATAAAAACGCCTATTCGGTTGCTCTTTTACTTTTGAGTAACGTGTGTGTGGAGCTGAAGAAAACACAGCTGATTTTTTTTTTTTTTTTGCATTTTGACTCAACATCTCCCTCAAATATTTCTTTTTTTACTTAGGGTGCTATATCCTCTTGTGAGTGAATCGCCTTTCTCTGTATTAAGAGAAAAACTCAACGTCCCTATCTGGTTTATATGACTCGGTATCTCGTCAGGTGTTTTTTTTTTTTTTTTTCTTTCTTTTTGGCTACAGTTCCAATCGCTTTCTTCGTTTATTTATTTATTTTTATCACGTAGAAACTTGCATGGGGAATGGTCGCTTAGATGAGGCCCATGAATTTGAGAGAAAGGGAAACATATATATATATATGGGGTGTATTATTTGTGTAGATTGGTTACCCATAGCACCAAATGAATTGAGTCTGAGGTTGTTTGTTTGTCTCTACTTTTATCTCTTACAGAGAAAGAGAGATGGGATGTAGTGAGTGAAGGTGTCAAGTCTTCTTCTTTTTCTTTCCCA